ACTTTATCCAAAGCAGTTCTTGCTGTTCTTTGCCTTTTTCGTAGTGTATTAAGGAAAAATATTTGAAATCTAATACCATCTCAAACAGGTGCACCACCACCAGTTACGACAGTTCATGTTTGGTACAATACTGGAAGTTGGACCAAAACCTCTCAACACGAACTGGCGTAAGTCTACTTACGCCAGTTCATGATTGCTGAAAATCTGATAAATCATTTACGCCAACACAACAAACGTGCATATGTCAAAAGTGGGTTGAGATACAGTTACGACACTTTGTGACATATTAAAGCACATCAAGTAAGACCTATAGACGGCGTATCTCAAAATCATAATATTATCAGTTACGCCACTTCGTGTTTGGGCCGACAGGATGATCGGATTGGCACGACAAGAAGATTAAAAAAGAGTACAAGTAGTCCTACTAGGTGGTGTTTGCAGAGGCATTCACAAAATTGAGCGGATTTATCAGGACAATATTTTGTCAGTCACCCTTACCATGAGGCTTTATTATTATCTATATATTAATTTGAAACTGTTTTTCTTTGTGACAGCTATTTTGAGAGAACGGCTGGGCGTAGAAACTCGGTAGAGGTGTCTAAAGAAAGGTCCTGGTCTGTAGATGAGCCATCAAAAGAGAAACATGGAGAATTACCTCGGGGCTCTGCCCCAGTGGCCTTTAAATTCCCATCCCATGTTATTCTTATGGAGGAAAACAAGGTTTTTGTCACAGCTAATTTGAGAGAACGGCTGGGCGTAGAAACTTGGTAGGGGTGTCTAAAGAACGGTATTGGTCTGTAGGTGAGCCCTCAAAAGAGAAACGCGGTAAATTTCCTTGGGGTTCTGTCCCAGAGGCCTTTAAAGTTCACTCTGCAATTTTGTTTACATTACGACCATATGGATAATTTTACACTACTTTAATGAACCAGCTGTTAATATTGAAATTGTATTCAAAGGTCTACTGAAACTGTCAAAATTAAATGTTTACATTATTATTTATGATTTTAAATAGATTCTCCACTGCATGGCAAGTTTTTTATAGTTTCATCAAAATGATGAATTTATGATACGTTTTAAATGTTTTGTTCAAAAATCTATGCTTTATTGCTCTTAGAAATTTTTAAATTATGAAATAAGTGTGATGTATCAATTTCAAAGGAACATATAGTTATTCCTTATCGGGTTAGCTTATATATATATTGTAAGGTTGGCACTTGCCTTTTTTCCTACTTTCAATCACCATTTATTTTTAAATTCAAGAAAGAACACAAGATATTCATTTATTGGTATACAAGTTTTTGATAATCGGGTTGAAAATTGTGTCATAGATGAGTACGTTGAGGATGAGAGCTGTGTTTAAGTTTTGGAATAGACTAACTACGGAGTATGTTTCATCTATGGTTTTGGTGAAGTAGGTGAACTAATTCAGGTATTAAAAAAAAAATGTGTACACAGTTTTTACTTTGATGTACACATGTAGCTATGTCGAACAACACATCTAAACCTCACTACATACAAAACATTCGGAAACACAACAGTGTCATCACATCTCATCGCATTTGCATAATTTGTTACCAAGGCTGGACTAGGTTATGGATTTGGTTCCGCAAATGTTCAAGATATGTGATCAAATTTCCTACAATTATGGTTCATTCCATCCACGAAATACATGCACAGCTTTATGTGATCGATATGGCCAAGGCAAAACTACCCCATAAGTTAATGAATTATCAAGTAAGAACAGGATGATTAAATACATGGTTCGATGTGGCAAGAGAACGAATTAAAATTGCTGAGATCGAAGTAAGAATGTTATTGCTTTCTGGAGAATCAGATATTTTTATCAAATACAAAAAAAAAAAACTGATTTAATATGCTGATAGAATTCTGTATTTTCATGACCAAAGATGAAGATTTACTTATAAATCCGGATAAAATCTGAATGATTTTCCTAAAGCAGATGAAATTAGTGGTTAGTAATAAATATTGACTCTTTCCGTAACATGATAGACTAATTATATGAACTTATTCTCCCATAAAGTGAAAGTGGCTTTGGCAAGAAACAAACTCATGAACAAACAATTATAAGACTCCTAAAAAACCTTTTGGGCAACTTAAAGCCGATAAAAAGGTAGGAAATATTGTGTTAAACGAATTCATCAATCACGTTTTTAGGGAACACAATCGTCATACTTATTATTGCTTATCTTCCCTTCATTTAACTAAGATTTTAATGACTTCACTCTATCCATCGCAGTTAGCTGAATTTACATAAAACCTCAAGATTAACCGTCGATTTCGACGGGGTTCCACTAGTTATTTTGATTTTTTAAGCAACAATTTTCAATGGTAACTTTTGTGTTATGTGTAACAACAATTATTGTTGGGATTCCCATGTGAAGGGAAATTTAAAACTAAAAGCTTTGGGGTGAATCAACTTTTTCTCTAGTAGAACAGTAACTAACCAGTGTGTTAACTTGTCTGTAACTGGTGTGTAGTTTTAGTCAGTGTTTGTCTCTTAACTAGTGATAACGTAGAATTCAACCAAAAACCAAAATAGTTTCAGCTTCTACTATTTTTGTTACTGATAACTGGATGAAATTTGAACTGTATGTGCTGGTGAGTAAATAAATGGAAACACGACGGATAGGCTATAGCATTCACTTGTATGTGACACCCTTATAACAAAAGAATTTACTATTTAACCCCTGCTGTAGTAAACCTACAGACCAAGCAAATTTCAATTTGTCAATGTAAAGTGCAAATTAATCATCACATTAAAGTCCATTTATATAGTATTAGGCGTTTCATGGGTTTGTATACATGTTTATGGCATGTTGGATTAACCGTGGTTTTCAGTTACCCGTGGTCTCCCTCCCCCACCCCATTACCCCGGATAATCGAGGTTCTACTGTATAATCAATGGTATCACTGAGAGTTAAGAGAACACTGAACTAACCACTAAATCACTTACTTACTGTCTACAAAGCTACGGTACTTGGCAATAAATCCAGACTTATGCAACTGTAAAAAAAAAACTATGCAACTGAAATTTGGCAGAAGGGTGTAACAGTCCAAATTACTAGCAGGGTGTCTAGTAGTGGGGAAAAACGGGAAAGTCGGGAATTAGTATTGAATTTCAAAATGGTCTTGAAAAGTCGGGATTTAGTCTTAATTTAGACACCAAAGTCGGGAATTTTCATGATTTTGCCGCGATCGCGCAAGACGACGATGATGTTTACGTGACCGATGGAGTCAATGATGATGTCTAAACGGCCTCGGGAAATGTTCACAATTTTGTCGCGATAGTGGACGATGACGATGGCGTTTCCGTGACCGATGGAGTCAATGATGATGTCTACACGGCCGCGGGAAATGTTCATGATTTTGTCAGTATCGCGGACGACGACGATGGCGTTTCCGTGACCGCGGTAGTCAATGATGATGTCTACATGGCCGCGGGAAATGTTCATGATTTTGTCAGTATCGCGGACGACGACGATGACGTTTCCGAAACAGCGGGATACGACAATAACGTTTCCGTGACTGCACGGCACGACGATGACGTTTCCGTGACCACGGGAGACAAAGATGATGTTTACACAGCCGCAGGAGACAACGATGATGTCTACACGGCCGCGCTAAATGTTCATGATTATGCCGCTATTGCGGACGATGACGTTTACTTGACCGCAGGAGATAGACAATAGACAATGTTCTCTAATTACATATTCGTGGGAGAATAGTACATGCGTCAACATGGAGATGACGGTGATGTCTTAACTTAAACTTAAGAAATTTATCATTAACAAGGCTATTTATTCATTTGAACTGTAATTGACTTCTCTTTCCCTACTTATCAAAGTATGTTTTATCTGTTAATTCTTTGTTCTTTTACAATTTTTCTTTTACTATAAGCATGTATATTAAATTATAACTTTATCATTAAGAAATGTGATTCTATTCATGTATATATTCCTTATCTACTTGATAAATAAAGATAATCGCAAAGAAAAGATAAACATCGCCGGAGACGATGATGATGTTTATACGGCCGCGGCAAATGTTAATGATTTTGCTGCGTCACGGACGGCAACTATGACATGACATTTCCGGAACCGCGGCAGTCAATGATGATGATGTCTAAACGTACGCATACATGATATAAAAAAAAAACAAATTTCCTAGTTAGAATTTTTTACTGCTGTATTATTTTTTCTCTCGAAAACACCACATTATCTTAATACTACTTTATGACAACAAAGACAGGATTTTTTAGAAAATTTGGTTAAGCTATACAAATTGGTATCGCTATCATGAATTGAGAATCGATACATTTTGGTATCAACAGTCACTAATCGTTGAAAAAAGTAGTCCTTAAAAATCTAGAATTAGTCTTGAAAAGTCTGGAATTAGTCTTGAATTTTATAATGGAAATAAACTAAACACCCTGTACTAGGCATGACCATCGATACTAAACTCTCTTGGACAGGACATGTGAATAGCCTGAGCAAAAGCTAAGACCTGGAATTTATGTAATGCATAATATGATTAAATGTTGTAATAAAAAAAATAAAAATTAGCCCAAAACCATGATAATACAAGACATAAAAATTTAATAAAACCAGTGCAACATAGACTAAAATTTTTTAATTTATCCCCACAATATATGGAACCTAAAATTTATAATAAGCTGCCTTCGACAATGAAAGGAATTGATTGCACATTGAAATTTAGGATATGGCTTCTGGAGAAGGCATTTTATTCACTGGAAGATTTTCAAAAATATGTATGATTATTTTTAAGTAGGCCTTTTGGTTGTTGTTTGTTTGTTACAATAGATTTAGTTTGAAGACAAATCACCTGTCAAACATTGATGTAACGTGATGATAAATAAATTAATAGGAGGACAGGAAGCCACTAAGACTTCATATTCCTTAAAGAAATCTAAATAAAATATTTATTGATTGAATGGTATATTTATCTGTTTTATGATGCAGGGAGGATCGTGGAGGTGAGAGGAGACCTGAGAGGCGCCAAGGTCCGAGGGAGGAAAGGGAAGGAAACCGAGGAGATGGAGGCAGAGGCACTGGACGAGGCATGGGCCGTGGTCGTGGAAGAGGAGGCAGAGGTGGTTTCGATGGACGTGGCAAGCGCGAGTTTGATAGACAGTCTGGCTCTGACAAAACGTAAGTTGTTGATCATGTTCATTTCACTACTGAAATATAATACAAAGTGCAATGTCATTTTATTAAATTACTTACAAGTATAACATAGTTTTTGTCTTCAGTTGTCATACAAATGGGTCTATTGCATTCACTCCACGGTTGTTCACTCCACCCTAAACAAATTCTTTGGCTGTTTGTTGGCTTCACTATTCCAACCGGGTACAGTCAGCTCCAGAAGTAGACGTACATGTAGAAAATACAAATTTCAAAGTGTACTGTACAGTGGATCAAATGCTCGGTGGAGTGAACAATCAGTATTATTAAAAAATATGTAATCATAGTGAACTTGGCGTTCACTCCACTATCGTTCGCTCCACCAGCGATGGGCGATGGGTGTTGCAATCTGCAGGTTTGCGGCGCATTTACTGATTGTGATAGTATCGAATGAAAGCTTTTGAAATAAAATCCATTGTTTTAGCCCCTGAACTGCTCTAAGTAGACTAAATTAGGTACATACCCTTTGTCACTCAGTCCAATTTGTAGTAGGTAATTCTTACTACATCAGATTCCCTCTTAATGGTGAAAACCTTAAAACCACGAATTAGGTCAACCGTGTAAAAACCTTGATTTTGCCGTGAATTTGTTTTTGAAACCTTAAGACCCCAAATATGTCACCTGGAGACGACACAAGGGGCAAGTGGTGTGAAACTGAATGCAGTGATATCGAGATTGTTGTTTGTGTGAGTTAGACAGAGAGAGAGAGAGAGAGAGAGAAAGACAGTTTAGTCATTGTGCCTCAAAGCTCATAGTGGTTTAAAAACTCATGGCCATGGCTTGAATTACGTCCTATAGGGAATAGCCATTGTTTAAAGACAGAATTTCTCGATTCGATACCAGTTCTGAAATATTACTCGACAATTATTGATACCAATTCCATATAAAAACTCATATTTAAGGAAGTTGTTGCCATGTTCAATGTTAAATTGTTCGTTTAAATTCTGAACCAGACAACCGGCATAGTTCATGCCGGCCCAAAATTATTGTGTGCTCTCAGTTAAATATCGTATCAATGTCTGATAAGTAAATGGAATCAGGGAACCCCTCTTGTTTTTTCGAAACAAAATTAGCTTAGACCGAAAACATCCAAATTGACGTAGCACTGACACGGTAACTCTGCTAGAAAATCGAGACGCTGTAAAATGTTGTTATGTTGGTAGCACTAAGCTCATTGACTGTTAGCTTGATTATTGCAATCCCACAACCTCAGTTCCAAAGTACTACTCTAGTACAAATGGTGGCAAACGTCTCGCGATTCTCGGCATTCTCGCATTCAGTGCTACCTTCGGTTGTAGCTCTAGTTCAGTGCGAGCAACTATTTCCATCATTGCCGGTATTGACTTGAGCTCAATAAGTATTTGTCTGCGTTAGTTTTTCGTGTAGCAAGCAATGGCGGAACTGTACTGTAGTGTAGACAATATACAGACAACGTACGATTTAAGTTACACTACTGTATACGATTCCCAATCAACGCTCGACTGTGGATTGAATTGATGTCTAGTATTTTAATATTTTATTTAAAACTTTATTAACAGAGTATACTATCATTGAGTATACTATCGATCAACGATTTAAAATTAACAAGTTTACCTACAACAACCATAAATAACCAATAATATATATATTTAATCAAGAATATTTGCCATCCAAATAAAGTATACCGACCGTTCGATTTAGATTAAGAAATATAACCGATAACTCGTCTTTTATTTTACCAAGTGTCAACAGTAATCAGGCCTACGTAACTTTACAAAGACTACCATTTACAAAAACATTATGAGTTTGCTCTTTGTTGTCAATTGCCATGGATACCAATCAACATTTACTTTAAAAACAGATCATTTCTATTTCTGGTTAAGTGTTCATGACAGGCAGCTTGTGTAGAAAATGAGTTGATGTTTTGTTTTACATGGAGGAGGTTACTAAAAATATACAAAGAAGGCACAGTCATGGATGTTTAGTAGGCCTACCACAAAACTAGCTCTACAAGAACCCCTAGAGGCAAGGTTAGCAAGTACTCTAATGGCTTTTCTCTGCCATCGAAAAACTTTGGTTACATGGGGGGAATTTCCCCAGAGACGGATGCCATAACTAATGAGGGAATGAAATAGACCATAATATGTGATAATCAATGTATCCAGGTTTACAGACAATTTAAGTTTACGTAACAAGCCAACCACACGAGACAGTTTTTTTCATAAGTTAAGAATATGTGGTTTCCAGCTTAACTTTGGAATCTAATGTGAACCCTAGTAGTTTAACATCACTAGCCTACTTACATGATCTGGTACTTGCTTGAGAGAGAAATAGATCAATTCAGTCTTTTC